TAACCTTGAACCTTGAACACTAGCACAATGCACTGACTCAAAGATTGTAATCTCTGACCTAACAGAACTCCTTGTCTCTATCCTGCTTCCTCCCAATATATTCTGCAGCCTGATCTTTCTAACAAAACATGATCTTGTCATGCTGCAGCTTTTCTACTATCATTCTCTCAATGCCTACAGGATAAAGTCCAAGACTGGCATTTTATTCAAGGCCTTCCTTGATTTGTAGCTTAGTACTTCCTCATAACCTCCCTACTCCTCAGCCTTCTGCCCTTTCCTCTTCCTTCTCTGGACATACAGAAACGTTTACACTTTTACAAATGGAACATTCATCTCTCATTTCTATGCCTGTGCCTATTTGGCTCTTTCTGACTGGAATTTCCTTCTTCTCTTTCTACTTGTCCTTCAAGACTTAGATGAAGTGCCACCTCCTCCATGATGCTTTCTCTTTTGTGCTCCTGTAATTATGTGACGTCTTATCACATCACATTAAATTACTTTGTCTGTCTCCCTGATTGAACCGTAAGGCACTGGAAGAACAGCGACCATGTAGTCCCAGCCTCCTGCACGCTGCCTGTCATATCACACAAATTGTGCTCAGTGCATAAATGCATCCAAGGCAACAAATATTATGTTCCAGGTGCTAGATGGTGCTAGATTCAGACCAATAGGTAAGAAAATAAAATTTAGGAAATAGGTACTGTGTATAAAGGTGACAATGAATGGTTTTTTCAAATCAAAAATTAAAAAAAAAGATATAAGATGAAGTCATTTCCAGAAATATTAATTGCATTGTATGAGTATTTTAGGCAGTTGTCTTTGGTTCCATGTGACAGAAAAATGACTCTAAGTTAGTTAAATATATTTATATTTATATTTATATTTATATTTATATTTATATTTATATTTATATATATATTTATATATTGGAAGGATATTGGGCATATCTCAGCACTGCAAAGGTGAGGTAGCGCCCTAGAACTCAGGGTCAGTGGGAACTGGGAAAACTAGGGATGTGAATGTAGCCAGGTTTTTGCCCGTCTCTTGGCCTGTTAGCCTCATCATATCATACTAGCTTCCCCCTTTCAGTAGGAAAAATGGACAGAGACTAGTCCTGAGCCTCACAACACATAGCTTTGCTGCCGGAGAGACATTGATCATTTTTCCTGGTTCTGGTTCAAAAAGTCCTGGAGAAGAGCTCTGTTAAGTTTGTTCTGAGTCAGGTGCCCTCCCTGAATGAATCAGCTGAGGAAGAGGAGTGGCGAAAGCACATTTACTTGGCATCTTCTCTGAGTGTTTCTTGGGCTTGCTGCTCTGTGGCATCTTCTGTTTCATGTTAGAATTAGTTTAGCTGCAAACTCTGGA